CAGCACATGAAACAGTCTTGCGCACCAACGGCTGTACCTGAGCCATTCGAATTCCGCTCATGCGTCCCGACGGCTTGACCAATTATTACCAGAACTATTTCGGCAGAGTACTCAAGTTGAACATCAACCAAAGTAGGTATCTTCATCGCTCGATTAGTTCAGCTGGATAGAATGTCTGCCTACGGAGCTGATGGTCGTAGGTTCGAATCCTGCATCGGCTATACCTTTATCTCACTTCCTCTTCACCCATCCTACTTCAACAAAATCGGGAATTAGATGTGGAGCTCCAACTAGTTTGCATAAAACCCTTCTGACACGGAAGTGTGGGTGAGGAATCACGTAGCAGCAGAGAAGCACCAACACGAAACCCGGAACCGGCAGGCCCGCATTATTGGCGCTGCGCCACCGCAACGTGATTGATGTGTGAGGCTGACCTTCACAAATCTCCCGGGTCGGGAGGGTTGGGTGAGAAGAACCAGAGGGTTCCATCACTGTACTGTAACAGTGCACACCGCAGCATATTGCTACGCCACAGCGTCATTCATCATGAGTGAGAGTAGTTGATCATATCAACTCGCTCTGCACGCACGCGCACGTATCTTACGGGGATGAGTTTCTATCGTCTGCGTGCGGGGACGCACGCTTCGTTATTGCGTGCTAGGGGACACTCCCTCCGTCCACTCAGGTTTTACTCATGCGACCCTGCGTTTGCTATCACCAAAATCGGGAATTCGATGTGAAGCTCCAACTAGTTTGCACAGGATGCTGAAGGCGAGCACATAAAACAGTCTTGCGCACCAACGGCTGTACCTGAGCCATTCGAATTCCGCTCATTCATCCCGACGGCTAGACCAATTATCACCTGAACTATTTCGGAAGAATACTCAAGTTGAACATCAACCAAAGCAGCTAGCTTCATCGTCCGATTAGTTCAGCTGGATAGAATGTCTGCCTACGGAGCAGATGGTCGTAGGTTCGAATCCTGCATCGGGTATACATTAATCTCACTTCCTCTTCATCCATCCTACGTCAACGAAATCGGGCATCCGATGTGAAGTGCCGACAGCAGTTCATCACCAGCGGCTCAGCGAATGCCGCGGATGACTCGATAATCAAATTGGTACGCGAAACGTCGATCGCAGCAGCGCGTAGGGTCGTGGAATCGTCGGTTTGGACCGAATATTTGCGAACCAGATCAGAGTATCAGGATAAACGCAAAAAGCTCAAAGCGCTGCACTTGAGCAAGGAAGAAACCGACTTCCCTGAACTGAGCCGCAGTTACATCCCTAGTCGTCGTTTTCTTGTGACGGTCCTGTTATGGGACTATCAGAGAAATAAGGTTCATCTGAGACGAGAACTAAAACAGATAACAAGCCAGGTGTCACTCAGTTGCGATCATCAGAGAGGGGTCATAAAGAAAACCAGATCGAAGGAGATCCTTGGCCAAGGAGGTCAAACCCTAACAGTAGCGGGCGATTTTAATTTGTGCCTATCGGTGGTCGCCGTGCCATCTACAAGTGACGAATGGTTAGAAGACCTCTTTAGCGAGCTCAAGCACAGACATAATGATCGCTTACCGGCTCGGATTTACCTTGATAAAGATTGTTGCGGTGGAATACCAGGGGTCAAATCCACTCCATCAGCTACATGGAAAAAATACTTTTCTAAAATAGTATTAGATGGAATGCATTTAATAATGAGAATGGGGCGAGAGGTAACAACTTGCGACCAATAAATATGCCTCTATGATGTGCGTAGCCTTCCGTGACAGATACCGGCTGAAAATCCTCGCCGACCAGCCTTCCTCCGGGACATATCACGAGCCATTTATCAGGCGCATCCTGGGGATGTGGAGAATGTGCTGCGTGCGAAGAGGCTCGTGGGGGATACTACACCGATCTCACGTGTGGATCGCTGTCGCTTCATTCGGAGGGTTATAGGTGATGGTGATGAGACCGCCGAACGCGTTAAGCACGTTATCGCCTCTTACCGGAAAGCTGATTCTGTCGCTCTGGAGAATGCTCAACGCTCTGGGCAGCCTATATCGTACTCCAAGGCGGAAGCTACCACACCCATTGTCACAAAGCGGCTGCTGAAGGTGGCACAAAGGCAAATCATTCACCTTCGTAACAAGTGTTGTGAGGATAACCTTGATGATCCTCCCTATCGAAAGATAGGTAGTGTAAACTACAAAAATGGCCCCGTAGAGCTGAACGAGTACCGTTCATTAAGAGGTGATATGACTCGAATAATGATCCCAAAGAGTTAATGTTTAGGTACGTCGCGTGTGGAATCCATCCACAGTGTAATGGCGAAGGCTTTCGGGCCGATGAATGCATTAGCTGCCACAGTGTATGATTGTCGACTCTCGTGGCTTATCTCGTCTTATAATCGACGCCGCCAGCTCGCTTTGAATATGAAGGTGCCACCGGTGTCGGTTACCGCCAGAGACATTGAGCTTTTCATTGCGAGTGGCGCTCTAGATCCTAGTAAGTTCTCTGATTATACTCTAGCCCCGCCAGACTGCACATCGCTGCCTCTGATCGGATTCGAGTATGGGCGGTTATGTAATA